AAAAATAATATAATTTTTCCGTTCATTTAAAATAATTTATAAATTTCTTCCTCCTTTGCGATATACATAGCTCTTCACATCCCCCTCTCGGACACTATATTGCGTATCAAAAGCTACGCAAACGTCCATTTGGGGAAATAACCATTTTTACTAAATTATTATGTTAACATGGATATAATTGAAACAAGAATTCACTTATACTGGGCAATTTATTTATTTTCTTCTCAAGCGGCCAGCAACAGCAGCAGACATTAGCATCCAAACAAACATAGCCGGTGAATTCTGAAGCAGATGCTTCTGCTCTTGGTGGTTACCCAAGGCAGGACATTGTAAAGGAAAAAAACAAACCAAGAATGAGCATAACAATAGCTGGCAATTGATGGCCGAACAAATGTGTTTGGAAGTACAGGCAGATTGTTGTCTACCGTAGCTCCCAATTGTATCCCCAAACAGCCAGCCTCTTTCCTGATAATGTATTTTTCTTTGTACAAATATGCACTTAGATTTTGTTTAGCGATAGCTAAACTCTTTAAGTTTCGGTCTTTTTGTTTCTTTCGTTGTTATTCATTCGGTTTGTTGGCCGTCTTAATCCCATGTCTGTCCGTCCATGGATTTTTGGATTTTCGTTTTTGTGTTATTGTTGTTGTTGTTGGACTATTGTGTACCGACGCTGTTCAGCATTTTTCCCAAAATGCAAAAATGCCTAGCATCGTTGTTGAATCACCTCACCACCAAAGGCAACAATAACAACCGACCGACGAGGTAAGGTCCAAAATAAAGTGTCTCCATTAAATGTCAATTTATTTCGGACCAACTTGTTTTTGGCATTTCACTAAAGCCTCAGAAAATTTAACAGCAGCAACATCAGCAGCGACAACAGCAGTAGGCGACTTACATTCATACAACATTTTTCTTTCTTGCAAATACATAAGAGTACATGTAACAATAATGTAAGAAAGCAGGCACATACCTACAAACATACATACATCTCGTACATGTTTATATGGGTCAATACGCACGAAAATTGATTGATTTTAGACATGTAAATTTACAGTCGATTTCAGCTCAAGAATCTGTAATAAATAATAAATTTAAAAATAGAAAATTTGTACTTCACAACTTTCGCCAACTAAAAATTGTACACAGAATGTCAGTTTCTCCTTTGATCTTGAGTTTGTTTTGAAGGATTGTCTAGTAGTACTTCGTTACCGTATTCAGGTACGATTTTTCCTGTTATTCCTATTGGGAGCCTGGGCCTTTCACAATGCATCTCCATATTATTTACCGTTGTTTTTGCAACTTCCAGGGTATTTTTTGGTCTACCTCGACCAATCCATGTCAATTTCCTAAGTTTAATCTACTTTTCTATGGGATCCTGGATCGTTAGGTTCCACAGGTAGAGCACCTTACATATGGTGTTGGGTTAGAATATTACACATACGATCCTGAAGCATATTAAAAATACTGCAGATTTTACGTCATGGTTTTAGACACATGTTAGGTTACACTGCCGTATAACAGAATCGATTTTATACACGCTTCGAATATTTTTAGCTTGTCTTTCCTGGATATATGAGAGCTTCTCGATACAGTTGTCCAAATTCTGATCTCGTTCGGTTTATGCTATTGATTACGTTCGTTTTTACACCAGTATTTCCGAGATAGCTGAAGCTATCGACGTATTCAATTGCTTGGTCTTTTTAAAAAGATGTTTGTTGTTAATTTTCGTGGCCTTAGTTTTCTTGATATTAATCTCAAGTCTAACATTGCGAGCCAGTCTTTCCAGGTCTTCTAATTTTGACGGTATTTGAATAACTTGTGAGAGAGAAGACATGTCGAGAGAGGCACCATGTTATACCTCCTCTCTGAGAGCAAACTTCATAATTATTTCATGCAGTACAATTGTGAACAGTAGGGGTGACAGAGGGCGGGCACCCTTGCTTTACTGAGAGTCCATTTTATGCCACTTCCAAACCTTTTGAAAAAAAACACACCTTCGGGAACCTTCCCTATAAAATGCCAACTTTTTGTACATCGAATTATGGGTCATCCGTGGCACATTCCTGACTTGGCATCCAAATGCTTCTTTTTATTCCCGCACATGAATTAAAATTGCGTGGTATACGATTTTACGATACGGTTCAAAAACCGATCGGAGTGGAAAAAGTACTTCGATAATTGGTTTGAACACATGGAAAAGTGTATAAATCTTGTAAAGGAAACTGTGAGAGACAAAAAACCTCGGTGGTGCCGACAGATATATAACCTCAAGCTATGGTTTGCGGAGGTCTTCGGATTTACACACAGGTTTTATTATTGGCTTTCGCATAATATTGAATTTACATACGTTGAAGAACCTGATCCTTTTGTCTATCAAAACGAGTAGACTAAATAGTCCCATATTCGGACTTGATCTTTGCTTGGTAAATACAATTGGTTGTAGGAAGTTTGATTTAAATCGGATAGTTCGTTCGCATGATATTATGAAATAAAATTGTTGTACAATTTTAAAGTAGGAAGTACCGATATTACCCATCTTCGAACTTGAACTAAGTTTGGATGAAATATTACGATGTGTAAAGTTTCGATGAAATCGGATACTCCCTTTGAAAGTTATGCGCACCAGTCGACCAGACGGACGCACATTTGTAAATCGACTCCAAATTGTTTGAAACGGATTTGATCCAAAGGGGTCTAAAAACAATATTTCAATGAGGCACCTTTATTGCCGTATAAAAGTGTAGCCATAAGACTGAGGGTATGGAAAAACTTAGGAAAAACTTGACATGTGGGTCCAAATTCATAATGGTACACGACATTTTAGTTACCTGAAGTCTTTGGAGAACTTCAAAAAACGAACAAGAACTGCAAAGTCAGGACCATGACCATGTCATCCGCGGCACAGTCCCAACTATAGTTTGAGAACTTCGAAAAACGAACATGAGATTCAAACCATCGGTTTAAACCAGTTTACGCAGTGTAAATATTTTTAAATCAGAATCTAGAACAAGTCCCGGTGCAAATCTCTTAAAAATAATAATATTTATACAGAACACATATTTTGTGGAATTATGGACTATATAGACCCCTCCCCTATATGACAAAAATATTGAAATAAATGACGTTTACTACATTTAATACATATATGTGAAATTTTGGACTTTTAAATTTTTTTGACAGTCGAAAAAACCTGCATTTGTAGTATTAAAAACAGACCCGTCTTCTAATTAGTCAAATTTCAAATGAAACTTCCCCTATTCAAATACGCATCAATACATGAATGTTTGTATGTAAGGTCCCATGTACATACTTATGCAAAATATATAGACATTGTTTTAGTTTTTTTTACCTTTTACCTATTTTGTCCAGCGATTTGTTTTACTTCGTGTAATTTTTCTGTTACGGGAAGACAAGCAGCACAACACTCTGTGTTTTATGTCCTACCAAATTCCAGCAAGAGATTTTTCTCGTAGCCCTTTTTTCTTAATCGGATGCTACTGGCGGCCACTACTACGAACTGAAAGTTGTAGCAATGTTTGTTGTATTTGTGTGTGAAACAAATTTAAAAAAAATCAATCCGAAAAAAGAATTTCCCTTAAGATACAATCACAATTATAGTCAGTCTATCGATTGAAGCAATGATCTTTATTATTTCGATAAAATAGAATGGTGAGTATCACCTTTTCGGCTGGCATAATAAAAATGTTGCAAACAATTTTAAAGACAAATGGCGTAAAGAGACAACAGCTTTATAATGTTTTTCGATTTGGATTCTTTTTTTTAATAAAATTGATTGGTTTGTGTTACAAAATGGAATAAGTTTAAAAATATATATAAATATATAGGTTATGCGACCAATGGTATTAAATTAAAAATCAATGGGATCCAACATATTTTAGATGCTGAATGTTTTATATTTGGTTACAGATAACTTTTTTAATACCCTGCACCATAAGGGGAGGGGAGGTTGGGGAAAAATAATTCAATTTTTTCCATTTGTCACCGTTTGCAACACCTTGAAGTATTCGTCGGAGACGTCATTAAGTTTTTGATTATAACGATTTAAATCACGAAAGAGCTCGCAATATTTACGTTAGAGCTTTGAAATTTGACATATATTTTGCTAACACTCGGTCCACAATTGGGATAGTCTCCCATTATAAATACGGATACAGCTTTCCACCGTCTTATCTATAATTTCATAGTTTGGACTCCCATTGGTAGAAAATATTCCTTACAAAAATGATCAACAATCTGAGAGTCTGAGTCTGTGGTATAGTACCGTTCAATTTTATGTTTTTTTTTTTAATTGAACGTTGACGATTTGAAATTTTTTCCAATTTAAAAATGGTTTAACTCAGATTTTATTAGCATATGTCCGCTACTGAAAACTACATATTCCAGAAGAGCTAATCAACTAACACACCAATATCGACCATGTTACCGCCACTGGTGATCATTAAGCCAAGTCGCCCACTTATTAATATTAATGGTCTGTATTCACCTGTATAAGAAATATCGATAACATGCATCGATTATTGATAATTATCATATACTCCTTTTTATACATTGTTCTTCTTGTACTAAAAAATGAAGTTAGAAGTAAGGAGTTTAATGCGTAAGAAAATCATCTTTCTTTTGCAATAGTTGGTCAAACAGTTAACACACTGATTAAATTAGATGGTTTGAAACCAAAAAGTATGTATAAAATATAACTTTATATATTATAATCCCTAACGTTATGAATTTATTTAGGAATTAAAACATATGGTTGCGCCACACAGTGGAAATAAAGAAATACATGCATTTCAATAAAACTAACCCGTGTTGCTGATTCATTCAAATCATCTGGGCCATCTATCGTGAACAAATTTTTAATTCTTTTTGTTAACAAAAAAGGCACTACATTTTCAAGAGTGGACTCGGGATTGGAGAAACCGTCTGTTATCCCCTCAACCAATCGGATATAACCTCGACCTTGGTCACACGTAAGTATTATAATGGATTCTAACACACATCAGGTCGAACAACATAACCTCAATGTCACCAACGACGCCTTGCCACAAATATGTGATCTCTGCCACGAGAGTATCAACGATAGAGTCGTAAGTTGCAGTAGCTGTAAAATGCCGTACCATGAATCATGCAGTCGAGTTTCATATCCCGACGAAAAATTCACGTGTTCTGCATGTACTCAAAATGCTACCAAATATCGTCGGTCTGCAGGCAGCACACAGTCGTCGTGGGACTCAAAAGACACTATAAGCAGCAAACGTGCGCTTGAGTTAAAACGTTTACACGAAGAGAGAGAACTCGCTAAAAAACGCGATCAAGATTATCTGTCTAAGAAGTATCAAATCCTGCAGGAAATGATGGACAATGGAGAATCACCCTCGTCAGCGTTAAAAGGGCAGGTAACTCATGATGTAACGGCAACTCAAGAAAGACCTACAATGGACACTGAAGTCGAACAAATGAATAACCCAACCGCAAAAAGCCCTTCGTCATGTGCTCCAATAATGTCATATACAGCACCTCTTATGACAACAACACAATCTTCATTACTTCCAAACAATTTTTACGATACGAACACATTTAATGCTACTCGTTTTGTAGAACCGATTTTTAACCTTCATTCTACAAGTTACCAAAACCCGAATCATAGGTCGACCAGCAGTAGAACCCACCAACAATCGTTCATAAACTCTGCACCAACCGATAACTCTCAAACGGCGAACTTCACAGAGCAAATTTCAAGAACACAGCGAAAGCTCACAGCAGATCAGCTACACTCTCGTCAAACTGTACCTAAGGAGTTACCTCTTTTCTCGGGCTCTCCAGATGAATGGCCTCTCTTTAGTTCCACCTATGACTGGTCTACACAAGTCTGCGGATTGACCGATGCAGAGAACCTAATAAGATTGCAGCGAGCTCTTCGAGGCGAGGCATTGGAGTCTGTGAAGCGGATACTCATCCACCCCTCGTGTGTGCCACATGCAATTTCCATATTGAGGGTTTTATATGGCCAGCCAGAGAAAATATTATTTTCTCTAAAAAATAAAATCAAAGCACTTCCACCAGTTAACCCAAACAAAATGGACACAATCACAAACTTCGCAGTTCAAATAAAGGGTTTACAATCCACAATAGAAGCTTGCGGTTTGGTCGACGAGTTGAATAATTCATCTCTACTTCAGGAGTTAGTTGCTAAGCTTCCATCTTATTTTCAGATTAATTGGGGCTCCCATAAATTAACGTTGCAACAAAACGGAAAGAACGCGAATTTGCTTGAATTTTCAGCATGGATATTTGATATTGGATTATCAGCGAGTACCGTAAATATAGAGAGCTCAATTACTCCCTCCTCCTCTTCCTCCATTCGTAAACAAAAGAATTCATTTGTGCACACCCATGTGGAGACAAAACTAAAGAAATGTTTAATTTGTGAAGGAGATTGCGTCAACACAGTAAATTGTCAGAAATTCATAAATGCTGAGCGAAGAGAGAGGTGGGATATTGTAAAAAAACTACAGTTGTGTAAGCAGTGTTTAAAAAGACATTCTGGTGTTTGCTTCAACAAAAACAAATTTTGCAATTTTGATGGTTGTCAAATTAAACACCATTACCTACTGCATGGTGATAAAAGAAACAACAATAAACTACAGCACAACATTCAGAGTAAAGAGAACGACGAAAATGAAGAGATTAAGAGCGCCCACAATGTCAACTCGCATAACATAAACAAACCCAACATTCTCTTCAAAATTCTCCCAATAAAGATTTATGGAAACAACAACAAAAGCACCGAAACATATGCATTCTTAGACGATGGTTCATCGGTAAGTTTAATTGAAGAAGACATTTTAGAACAACTAGACCTAAAGGGAGAGTCAGATCAGCTGTGTATGACGTGGACTGCCAATCTAAAAAGAACAGAGAATAACTCACAACGATTAAGCATTAAAGTAAGTGGTGATAATAATAAACAACTGACATTGGACGTGCGCTCGGTGAAAGAACTAATGTTGCCAAAACAATCTATTAATTATGAATTGCTTTGCCGCGACTTTGCTTACTTAAGAGGCCTGCCCGTTATGAGTTATTTCGATGCGACACCGAAAATATTGATTGGTTTAAATAATGCAAGTGTAACAAATTCGCAAAGAATAAGAGAACGAGGTATTAAGGAGCCTATTGCCATGAAAACACCACTTGGATGGACAATTTTTGGACCATGTTGTAATGACAGTCTGATGGCCTATAATATGCATATCTGCGAATGTACAGAAAGGGATGACCAAATGCAACAATTAATAAAAATGTTTTATAATATAGAGAGTTTAGGCATCAGCTGTCACAACACGTTAGAAAGCAAAGAAGACGAACGTTCGATGGAGATTTTAAAGAATTTTACGAAACAGCGGGATGATGGGCACTATGAAACCGCCCTTTTATGGCGGTATGACAATATAAATATGCCAAACAACTATGAAATGGCGAAAAGAAGACTTATTTGTCTTGAAAATAAATTACAGAAAAATCGTGAGCTGTTTGAAACCTTTTCGGAAATTATAGCAAAATATGCTTGTAAAGGTTTCATCAGCAAGATCGACATATCAACTAAACATACCAATGTTTGGTATTTACCTATTTTCCCTGTGTTTAACAGAAACAAGCCTGCAAAATGCAGAATAGTCTGGGATGCGGCTGCCAAGTTCGAAGGCATTTCCTTGAATTCCATGCTAAATAAGGGTCCCGATTTGCTGTCATCATTACCAGCAATACTATTTAAATTCAGAGAAAAATCAGTTGCCATATGCGGAGATATAGAACAAATGTTCCACCAAATTTACATTCGCGAAGAAGACCGTCACGTGCAGCGATTTCTGTGGAGAAACTGTGAAGTGAATAGAGAACCAGATGTTTATATAATGAACGTCATGATATTTGGGGCTTCTTGTGCCCCATGCATCTCACAATATGTTAAGAATATCAATGCATTACAATTTGAGACTCAATTTCCACAAGCCGCTGCTGCCGTTAAAGACAATCACTATGTCGACGACTTCTTATATTCCACCGATTCTGTCGATAAAGCTGTAGAAATTGCGAAGCAAACTCAATACATTCAGAGCAAGGGAGGCTTTAATTTGCGTAACTGGTGCTCAAATAAAAGTGAAGTGGTTAACAAGCTGGATAATAAGGAGTTAAATTTGGAAAAACAATTAAATGTTGGAACGGATAACACAACGGAGAAGGTTCTTGGAGTTTTTTGGAAACCAGCCGATGATACAATTATTTTTAAAATCTCGCCTCATATTTGGAATAATGATTTAATACGAGAAGAAAAGCCAGTGACCAAGCGACTAGTTTTGAAGGTCCTTATGACAATATACGACCCACTAGGCCTCATCGGAAATTTTCTCATGTATTTAAAGATAATCCTTCAGGAAATTTGGAAAAGCGGGGTAGATTGGGATCAACCTATCCAAAATGAACAGTATGTCAAATGGAGAAAATGGCTTCAGTATCTGCCCGAATTGGAGCAAATAAGCATACCTAGATGTTATTTGCAAACATTTGCAGATTACGAAAATGCAGACCTGCAGTTACACACCTTCGTAGACGCTAGTGAGAACGGATATGCAGCAGTGGCTTACCTTAGAATATCACAGAGCAATAACACCATTTGCTCATTAATAGGGTCGAAGACGAGAGTAGCGCCACTACGAATGACTTCTATTCCACGTTTAGAATTGATGGCGGCTCTCATAGGCGCCAGATTTGCAAATAATATTATTAAACAACACTCCATTCCATTAAAAGAAAAACACTTCTGGTCAGATTCCAGAACAGTCCTCAGTTGGCTTACACATAACAGTAAGAAATACCATCAGTTCGTTGCTTTGCGGATAAGTGAAATATTAGAATCAACGGAAATAAATGAATGGCACTGGGTTCCTGGCAAGCAGAATGTTGCCGACGAAGCAACAAAGTGGGCTAGAAGACCAAATATTTCAAATGAAAGCCGATGGCTAAAAGGGCCACCATTTCTATTGGAACCTAAATGTAAGTGGCCAATTGATACTGCTACGCCAGAACCGTCAGAAGTAGAGGCACGCATTAGTTTCCACAACGATGAGGAAATATTAATTAGTGCCTGTCGTTTTTCGAAGTGGAATCGAATGTTACGATCCCTTGCGTACGTGGTGAAATTCAAGAACATTCTGAAGAAAAATTATAAGGTGAAAATGGAGCTAACATCACAGGAGTTATTTGAAGCAGAATGTCTATTGTTCAAAATTGCCCAGCAAGAATTTTATGCCAACGAAATACACGTGTTAAAATCTAATAAGAACTTAACAAAATCCAGTTCATTGTACAAACTCTCACCGATATTCGATGAAAATGGAATTTTACGTGTTGATGGCCGAATTGGCAACGCAAATATTCCACAATCCGGAAAAACCCCTATTATTCTTCCCAGAGGGAGCCGTATAACATTTTTGCTAATATCGCATATCCACTCAAAGCTACGCCATCAAAGTCAAGAGACTGTCGTAAATGAGTTGAGACAAATGTATTATATACCTCGAATGAGAGTTGTGGTAAAAGATGCAGTTAAACAATGCCAGGAGTGTAAGATTAAGAAATGTGTTCCAGTATGTCCCCAAATGGCGAAACTACCACCATCACGCTTATCAGCATTTTGTTCTCCATTTACTTACACCGGCGTCGATTACTTTGGCCCAGTAATGGTAACAGTAGGCAGACATACAGAGAAACGATACGGAGCTCTCTTTACTTGTTTAACATTAAGAGCAGTTCATATAGAGGTAGTTAACACTCTTAATACATCCTCGTGCATAATGGCTATTCGGAACTTTATTTCTCGGAGAGGAACGCCAAGAGAATTTTACAGTGACAATGGCACTAATTTTGTGAGTGCAGAGAGAGAATTTCGAGTGGCAGTTAACGAGATGGATAAAAATGAGTTTATTCGAAATTTTACCACTGCGACAACAATGTGGAAGTTTAATCCGCCCTCCTCTCCACACATGGGAGGTGCGTGGGAAAGGCTAGTAAGGTCCGTTAAAACAGTTCTCTATAATATAACCCCTAGTAGAGCACCAACTGAAGAATTGCTACGCAGTATGCTTGCCGAAGTCGAGAACATAATAAATTCGCGCCCTTTGGTTTATGTGCCAATTGATCACCAGAATGCCGAGGCGTTGACACCAAACCATCTTTTGCTAGGTTCTTCTAATGGTATGAAACCATTAGCATCATACAATGACAGTGGAGTGGCTCTCCGTAGTAATTGGTTATGTTCTCAGCAATATGCTGACGCATTTTGGCGGCGCTGGGTTAGAGAATATTTGCCCTGTTTAACATTGAGATCTAAATGGCACGAAAAGGCAAAACCGCTGAATATTGGTGACTTGGTTATTGTGGTTGACCCATCGAATCCGAGGAACGTATGGCCAAGGGGAAGAATTTTGGAGACATCTTTAGCAAAAGACGGTCAGGTGCGAAGCGCAAAAGTTCTTACATCTAGTGGTGTATTAGTGAGACCTGCTACAAGATTAGCTGTACTTGATGTGGCGGAGAAATAGAAGTATGTCTTCGAAGGCTTCTCGTCATACTGCGGGGGGGTGTTACCGCCACTGGTGATCATTAAGCCAAGTCGCCCACTTATTAATATTAATGGTCTGTATTCACCTGTATAAGAAATATCGATAACATGCATCGATTATTGATAATTATCATATACTCCTTTTTATACATTGTTCTTCTTGTACTAAAAAATGAAGTTAGAAGTAAGGAGTTTAATGCGTAAGAAAATCATCTTTCTTTTGCAATAGTTGGTCAAACAGTTAACACACTGATTAAATTAGATGGTTTGAAACCAAAAAGTATGTATAAAATATAACTTTATATATTATAATCCCTAACGTTATGAATTTATTTAGGAATTAAAACATATGGTTGCGCCACACAGTGGAAATAAAGAAATACATGCATTTCAATAAAACTAACCCGTGTTGCTGATTCATTCAAATCATCTGGGCCATCTATCGTGAACAGACCATTTTCCAAAACTACCGCCATATCTCAACAGTACACACCAATTCTTACCTCAACAGAAATCTAGCTCTATACTAAATTTGGTACCATTTATTACAATCTTTTAGTACCTTTTTCCGAAACTAAATTTGCCATATATGGCATAATTATTAAAATGATTAATGTTTACTACATGTTATATAGATTTTACCAAATTTAGTACCAATTAATATAAAATGTCCATATCAACCTACCTCAACAATCCAAAAGAAATCATATTTCCAAATATCTGGATTCCAGTTCCCCAAATCCAAATTATACCATCTAGTACACATACGTACGAAATTCCAAAGCTTCCTACATACCTAAATCCTACACCCCAACAGTCATTATTCTAAATTTAAGAATTCCAGCACTATCGGCTTACCTAAATCCGGTACCTAAATCCAGTACCGCTTAGTACACATAAGTACGAATTTCCAAAACTTTCTTCAAACCCCATATAAGCACCAACAGCGACACTCACTCCAAATTTTAGCATTCCAACTCTATCGGTTAGCCCACAATTCAAATTGTGTACCATTTAGTACACATAAGTAGGAATTTCCAAAACTACGTATATTATACAACCATAGAAGTCTTATTTCCCGATTTCAGGATTCCAGCACTATCGATTCACCTAAATGCAAATTGTACCAAATTTAGTACCATATTGTACTATTCGTGTACATGTGTACACACTTCCAAAGCCACATCCTTATATCGACCATACTTCCAAATCTTGATTCGCATTCCAAATTTCAAGTTTTTAGCCCTATCCGTTCTCATGCTATGAAATTGTACCTTTTGTACATTTTAGTACTGTTCGAATACTTATAGTTCGAGTTTCCCAAACATTTTAATATATCTATCCTACACTCCGTCGATCATCCTCATTCCAAATTTAAGAGTTCTAGTTCCACCGGTTGGCCAAATACAAATTGTACCATATTTAGTAATTTTTGGTACTTTTCGTGACGTTTTGGTACGAATTTCCAAAAACCTAGCCATATCTGACACTTTCGGACAAAGAGTGACCCACAACCCAAATTCCAAGATTTCGGTGGACTTTTCAAACATTTAACATCTAAGTCAAAATATTAACCCACTTTTTAATTAGATTTTGATCTAAATATTTTCTAAAACAAAAATTCTAAAAATTTAAATATAAATTTTCAAATAATGTAGAAATAAAAAAAAATCGATTTTTGGAATCTTAGAATATTAAAGCATTGAATTAAAAATAAAAAATATTATGTTTCCTCTTTTAGACCGCTTTACACTGGGCCGCCAAACATGGCAATGAAGATGTCATAAAACTTATAGCCGGTACATATAAGGCTGATGTCAATGCCAGAACGGTAAGTTATCAATATGAACAATCACAAAATTCCCAATAATATTTTTTCCTTTTCTTCAATTTATCTCAACTTTTTCGTATTTCGATTGGTTTTTTCGGCCGTGATAATATTTGCAACAATATCCACATAATAGAATGGGGTAAGTATCAATCCACTTTATTATTAATTTCACATAGACAGTAGACAACAGTCAATATATAACATTGTCATTTTGTTGTTATTGTAAAACGCTTTTAATATAACAATTGTCAAATTTACAAAATCACAATTTTATTCGCCTTTGGAAGTTTTCTATTTTCTTTCTCTCTCTCTCTCGTTATTGGTTGCCACCATATGTGGAGCTGAATAGAACGAACGAAACATATGGCGACGTAGTGTTTCTCGTGTATTCCTTGAATGGCATTTTATTATAAAGTACAAGAAAAATAAAAACAACAACAACAGTAGCAACAAGAACAACATCATTTGCAACAACTCTCTACATGTTAAAAATATTCTGTCGTTCAATCCTTTAGAGAAAATATAGAGTAACGAGGTTTGTATGGATATGCCGGAAAAATTTGTGGTGGGAAAATATTAGTAAATTTTAGATCTACGTTTTGATATAGCCCTCTGTATAGCGATACCGACCCATTTTCCGATGTAGCTGTAATTTTTCATTCCGGGTTCTTGAAAAATCACTTTGCTCAATACAGGTCCATGGGCGAAAATAAACCGAAAATTTTAAGGCTCTATGTCAAACGTCATACAAAGGTTCGGATATATTTTCGGCATTTTTAAGCCTTAGCCAACCGAAGTGTCTGTTATATATTTTGTTCCGGGTTTATGGAGGACGTAACCAATATTTACCATGTTTTGGAATTGCTCTCATATAAGGTCCTGTCTGATTTGCGATATTTGGAAGGTTTTAGACGGATTGTCCCGCCAAAGTATCTGTAATTTGGCCTTCGGAAGTCGCTGTAATATGCATTTGAGGGTGCGGACAAAAAATGGGGTTTCGCCTTATTGTCGCTATACTAAGGGTTTCCAACCGAATTCTCAACCGTAGTTTCTGTAATTTGGTCTTTCGAGTTCTTAGAGCGTAAAAATAACTTTTCTTGACATTTTCGATCTTGAGTTTGCGTTGGTTGGGGTCCTTGCTATTTTAGTCTTGCCATTTTCCTCCTGCATATTCTATTAATTGTTATCCTCCTGTGTTGATACCGAAGTTGGTTATTAGAATCTGAGGGGGCTTCGGATACCATAGATGGAGCAATTTGGTCTTTCGAGTTATTGCAAGGTAAAAATATGTTTGTTTGATATTTTCAATATAGATCAATTACATGCTACTTCTATTAGTAGCATAGGACTTCCATAAAATATCGACATTTTACTCGTTTATTCTTTTTGTCAGTTTCAAATCATTGGTTTTTTTCAACTAAGTATATGATTGGTCTGCTGTGGGCTGTCCTAGGTGATGGGCCTGCCATATATAGTTGCCCAGAAATAACGCCTCGTTGAGTTTTGTGCATTGGTAGGGATCCTTGCTAATATAGTGTTGGCATTTTCCTCCTGCACATCCTATTTTCTGTTATCCTCCCGTGTTTATGACTAGGTTGAGGGGGCTTCGGACACCATTGGGGCAATATGGTCTTTCAAGTTATTGTAAGGTAAAAATATTTTCAACATAGTTCAATCGATGCTTCAATTTCCTGCTACTACTCTTGGGAGCGTATGGCTTGCACAAATCATCATCATCATCTTATTCGTTTAGTCTTTGTGTCAATTTCAAATCATTGTTTTTTTTTCAACTAAGTATATAATTGGTCTGCCGTGAGCTGACCTAGATGATGATGCAACCATCTATCGTCGCCTAGAATCAACGCCTCTTTGAATTTTTGCATCCTTGATAATTTGGTGTTGCTGTTTTCCTTCTGCAATTCCTATTTTTGTTATCCTCCTGTGTTGGTGCGAGATTCGTTTTTAAAATCCTAAGGGACCTTCCGATACCATAGTTGAAGCAATGTGGTCTTTCGAGTTATTGTAAGGTAAAAATATATTTGATTGATATTTTCAATATAGCTCAATTTCTGCTATTCATCTTGGGAGCATAGTCATAGCCATCTTACCCGTTTAATTTTGTGTCAATTTCAAATGTGGTATCCTAGGTAATGGGGCTGTCATCTATCGTAGTCTAGAAGCAATGCGTTATTCAATTTTGTGCATTGGTTGGGGTCCTTGCTAATTTAGTGTTGCCATTTTCCTGCTGCAATTCCTATTTTTTGTTATTAGAATCTCAGGGGTCTTCGGATACAATAGACCATAATTATTGGTTGGTTTGTCTATTTGCTGCTACTCCTCTTGGGAGCATTAGTCTTTGTGTCAGATTCAAATCATTGTTTTTTTTCAATTAAGTATATATTGGTCTGCTGTGGTATGTCCTTTCCTAAGTGATTGTATTCTACTGTGCCGGATAGCGTTGACCATATTTGGAGCAATTTGGTATTTCGAGTTATTGTAAGATAAAAATATATTTGCTTGATATTTTTTCAATATAGGCCAATTTCCTGCCATTGGTTTAGTCTTTTTGTCAATTTCAAATCGTTTTTCCCCAACTAAGTATATGATTGGTATGCTGTTGGCTGTTCTAGTTGATAGGGCTGCCATCTATCGTTGTCTAGAAACATCGCCGCTTTGAGTTTGTGCAACGGTTAGGGTTAGGGTCTTTGCTAATTTTGTGTTGCCATTTTCCACCTGCAATTCCTATTTGTTATTATCATTCTACGTTGATATCCCCTGAGAATCTCAGAGGTTTTCGAAAGCATTTCCAAATGTTTAAAACCCACTTTGAAATAATTCTATCTTCATCCGCTGTGATTCAAACCCTTGACTCATTCGTTTTGTAGTTTGGCACATTATCCACTGCACTACTATATAATATACTTTTCTCAGTCCCGGTTATTACTTCCCTTATTTTTTCGGCATGTTCAAGTTCCCTGTCCATTATTTTATCCTGTGTGTCTGAAATTTGGTATTAAATTGTCTCAGAGTATATACAAACAATTATCAGACAATTTAGTCGTAGTAGTAGTCGTAGTATAAAGGTATAAATTTAAAGAATTTTTGAATTCTCTCTACATGGGAGGATATATAAAGTTCGGTCGAAGTTATCATAGCTTTTACTTATTTTACATATTTTTATTAATAAACGATTTTTTCGTTAACTTCCATGTCACTCAATTTTTCAAACCATCTCCCTTTATTTCTTGGTCTTGATCGGTAGTAAAATACAATTTCAAATTCAATAAAACCATAACGAATCACTTAAACAATTGTAAGCCAATACGTAGATGGAAGGGTTGGTGGATTAGCTGGGTGGAACGAATGCTGCTGCCATCATTTAAAGGGTTGGGCCGATGATGATGATGATGAAAATCAAAATGTTTTGCCATTTCAATTTCGTTGACAGACAGCGTGTGGAATTTTAAAATTTAAATTTTGTTGTTGGTTGTCGTATATGTTTGTTGCTGTTCTACCACTCACACATTCACATTTCTATTACTATATTGAAATTGGCAACACATTTGTTTTGTCGGCTGTGTTAGAACAACAAAATAAAATAAATGAAAATTAAAAGATTTGTCAATACTGTAGTAGTCAGAAAGCGAATTCGTTCTATGAATCAGTCACATCCATCTATCCCTCAGGAACAACTCAATGACAATTTAATTATTTTATTTTGTTATTTTTTCGTACAACATTTGAAGGTGTGCACATGATTGACACTTTTCTGGGCTAAAATTTGAAGCAATGTTAGGTATGGCTGTTGTTGTTTGATATTATATTTAAAGTTTGTTCTTGCAAAAAATACACAACTAATCCTTTATTTTCTTTTTTGATTATTTTTCTCCTAGGGTTATACGCCTCTACATATTGCCATGCAATTCGGAAGGGTTAATATATTTGCCTTGCTCTGCAACACCTACAGTAAGTAAACGATTATATTATTCAAATAAAATTATCTATAAGTACAGTGGAGCATATTCAAATAGGACATAGGAACCACACTTCTATGTGGTGCTAATATAAACCGTTCCGACTCCAAATCCAACATAAATATATTCGCGTAAAATATTGTTAATAAATGTTGGTTCCTGTTGTATTCAAGTTATTAATTTTGATTTATGATAAGAAAGAATTATTTCGTGCCCATCCCCGTTAGCGGGAGAGTGAGGGAGGTATACGTTATCAATCAACTGTCAATCAAATATTATTGTTATCAAAACAATTGAAGTATCCCATTAACAACAATCCAACGACATCTAATCGCTACCTAGTGTATTCGACTAAACTAAGGAATAATTGCCCAAATTTTTATTTGTTTTGAATGATAATGGGGGTTTATTAAATCAAATTCGTTGATAAAAATCTACAGCGGCACACCTTTGAACTGGTATCTCTCTTTATTTGAACAGTTGCTTATTGGTTGTAGAAAACTTGATTTCTAATTAACAATAGGTAGGAAAAAAACGAAAGTCTCGAGGTTCCACGCTATACCTGAACGTGGATCAATATTGTACCCCCCACTATTCAATATTAGGTATATTCAATCAGGTTGTTTATATGTGTGCAGTATCATGGTAAATTGCTACCAGGAGAAAACGAAACTACAAATTCTCACGATGAAAAATTGGACTGGGATCTTGCTATGGAAATCCCTAAAATACCAAAAAAATTGCGGTGCCTAGAAATTGTTGTACTATAACGAGAACACATATTGATAATTATTGGTAGAAAATTTTGAAACCTAGACAGAACTCAAAATAGTATCAAATCGGAACCAATTCGATTGAAAAACATACCCAATGTACCGAAAATCGATCAGTTCCGTAAATTACAAACTAAAAATTTAATCCGGTTGAAAAAACGTGCCCAAAATTGTTGAAATATCGAAAATCGGAGAATACCACCACATGGGTCCATATCTAAAAGTACAACGGTTATGGTATTATTTGATAGGAAGATTTTCCACATAATGAGAATCCAAAATATCAAATTACAGACAAGTCGGTTAAAGAAACGTTTCCCAAATCTTTAATATACAGAAAATAGGTGGATATCACGATATAAGAGCTATACTTAAAACTGGGTCAATATGCATAATTTTTGTTAGGAAGTTTATCCATCTAATGGCAACCCAAAATATCAAATTACATCCAATTCGGTTGAAACCCGTGTCGAAAGTCTCCAAAATAATGAAAGTCGCGGGGTTCCATTATATAGGGGCTATACCTAAAAGTGAATCAATATTCACCAAGTGATAACATAATATATCAAATTACAGACAAGTCGATTTAAAAACTTGTCCAAAATCTGTAATATCCCGAAAATAGGCGGGTACCGCGATATAGTGGTTAAACCTAAACGTAGATCGATATGCCTAATTTTTGTTAGGAAGTTTTTCCACCTAATGCGAAATCGAAAATATTAAGTGACATCCAATTCGGCTAAAAAACGTGTCGAAAATCCCCAAACTAACGAAAGTCATTGGCTATACCTAAAGGTGGATCTATTCTATTCATAATTTTTGCCAGGAAGATTTTTCACCTAATGAGAACACAATATATCGAATTACAGATAATTCGGTTGAAAAACATTCCCAAAATCTTTGAAATATCGAAAATCGAGATATACCGCTTTATGGGTATATATTTAAAATTACACCGATATTGCTAAGCGTTGGTAGGGAGATTTTCCACCTAATCCAAATAATCCAAATCCAAAATATCAAATTACAGCCAATTCGGTTGTAAAAAACGTGTCAAAAATCCGCAACATGTCGAAAAATTCTAAACATACCCGAAATCGGGGGCTAACGTTATTTGGGGCTATATAAGTGAACCGATATTATTAATTTTTTGTATGAAGGTTTCTATTCCGACGATAACCAAATATAGCAAATTACAGACAATTCGGTTTGAAAATATGCCATAAATTCTCAACTTACCGAAAGAAGCTGGTACAGCACCATGGGGTATATACCTAAAAATTGATCAGGTCATATATATTATATGTTGATCAACCAACCAGGTTTGCAAACGAAATCGGTGACCATTTGATTCGAGGTGTTTTTCCACGAATAACTTCCGAACGATTTGGTTCATCTTGAAAGACCGACATTGTCAATTGCTTTTATGTTTCGGACTCATGCGCATAACGAAATTTGGCATAACGTACTAAATTAAGCCAAGAGTGATGTCTGCCAAGTTTCGAGAAAATCGGTCCAGATTTAGATATAGCTCCCATATATATTTTCGTCCGATTTCATGTAAATGGTGCCCCAAAGTCCATATATATCTTTCGATTTGCACGAAATTTGGCATAATGTACTGAATTAAGCCTAGAGTGGTGTCTGCAGAGTTTCGAGAAATTCGGTCCAGATTTAGATATAGCTCCCATATCTAGTTTCGTCCGATTTCATGTAAATGGTGCCCCAAAGTCCCTATATATCTTTCGATTTGCACGAAATTTGGCATAACGTACTGGATTGAGCCTAGAATTATGTCTGCTCAGTTTCGATAAAATCGGTCCAGATTGAGATATAGCTCTCATATATAGTTTCGTCCGATTTCATGTAAATGGTGCCCCAAAGTCCATATATATATATATATATTTCGATTTGCACGAAATTTGGCATAACGTACTGAATTAAGCCTAGAGTGGTGTCTGCCAAGTTTCGAGAAAATCGGTCCAGATTTAGATATAGGTCCCATATATAGTTTCGTCCGATTTTATGTAAATGGTGCCCCAAAGTCCCTATATATCTTTCGATTTGCACGAAAGTTGGCATAACGTACTGAATTAAGCCTAGAGTGATGTCTGCCAAGTTTCGAGAAAATCGGTCCAGATTTAAATATAGCTCCCATATATAGTTTCGTCCGATTTCATGTAAATGGTGCACCAAAGACCCTTTATACGAAATTTGGCATAACGTACTGAATTGAGTCTAGAATGATGTCTGCCAGGTTTCGTGAAAATAGGTCCAGATTTAGATATAGTTCCCATATATAGTTTCGTTCGATTTCATGTAAATGGTGCACCACATATACCTTGCGATTTGCACGAAATTTGGCATAACATACTGAAATGATCCTAGAATTATGTCTGCCCAGTTTCGAGAAAATCGGCCCAGATTAAGATATAGCTCCCATATATAGTTTCGTCCGATTTCATGTAAATGGTGCACCAAAGTCCCTTTATGTCTTTCGATTTACACGAAATTTGGCATAACGTACTAAATTGAGTCTGGAGTGATGTCTGCCAAGTTTCGAGAAAATCGGTCCAGATTTAGATATAGCTCCCATATATAGTTTCGTTCGATTTCATGTAAATGGTGCACCACATATACCTTGCGATTTGCACAAAATTTGGCATAACATACTGAATTGAGCCTAGAATGATGTCTGCCCAGTTTCGAGAAAATCGGTCCAGATTTAGATATAGCTCCCATATATAGTTTCGTCCGATTTCATGTAAATGGTGCACCAAATTCCCTTTATGTCTTTCGATTTACACGAAATTTGGCATAACGTACTAAATTGAGCTTAGAGTGATGTCTGCCTTGTTTCGTGAAAATCGGTCCAGATTTAGATATAGCTCCCTTTTATTATAGATTGATTTTAAGTAATTGACGCACCAAGGAACCAATAGTCTGATAGGAACAAAAAGTTCTGAAATTAGTATAACCTAACTTGTGACAAGTTTGTTTGAAATCGCTTAATATTTGGATAGAGCTTCCATATATATTTTCGACCGATTTCAAGTAAATTGGGCATCAAACTCCTCAAGTTAGTCAGATTGACATAAAATTTAGCACAACGTACAAAATTGAGCATTGAATTACGTAGTTGCGTTTTCTAGAAGTACAGACATAGCCCAACGGATGACCTATTTATATTTGTTTGAAGTCGATTTACATACTTTATGGATAGATCTTGGTAGATTCACATTTAGATAAATATCACATATTTTATTTCATCCAATTTCATGTTAATAGTCCTGTTTAATATACCCATAGTGGTGAAGGGTATCATATAGTCGGCCCCGTCCGACTTTACTACTTTCCTTACTGGTTTTTTTAATGTCTTTCACCAATCGATACGAATCATTTTTGAGAAATATGCTAAATGTTGGGGGATCCAACAAAAAAACCTTTTTTACTGTCTGGTCCTCATGCAATATCGAGTGTGGGCTGGCGGATGTAAGGTCTGAGGTGGCCTGTATCTCACGAGGTGGCCTGTATCTCGCTTCCAACATCAATGTTCTGTGGCAAATACCTCGTTTTTGGACGACCTTCGTCTTTGACCGAGTGTCGACTACAATAATTTTTCCTTAGTGTTTCATTTCATCAATGCCCTGTGGGTCTACCCTTTTTTTGGACCTTTAACAATTACAATTATTCTTATAGAACAAATATCTAATAATATATTAAATGATTTCTTTTATTCTGCAGAAGCGAATCGTGATCTATTGGACTGGGCTGGCAATAAGGCTTTGGATTATAGCAAACAGCAGACCACCGTCTCGGCTTCCACCTATAGCAGTGAGTATTGTTCAAAGTTTCTACTCACCGAACTAAACAACAACTATCACTTCGAACTGCCATCTAATATGAAACAAACTGGAGGTGGTACAGTGGGTAGTGCTTTGTCGCGTGGTAAAAAACGCTCGCAGCTAACGTATGCCACAATTAGTGGCGGTAGTAATCCCATATCGCGTACACAATCCCTACTGACCACATCGACACGGCGCCGTGAAAAGAAACAGGCCATACAATCGATGAAATTCAGTAACAATAATAATAATAACGATGATGCCACACTTGTGCCATGTCAGATATTGTCATCGCCTCAAAGTTCACCGGAATCGACGCCACGTAGTATGTCACCGAATGATAATCGCGGTGTGGGTATTGTGGCACGCCGTAAAGAGAGTTTTTTGCGTAAAACACTACGTGCTGCGACCGCCTCCAGTCGCAACAATCAACATCACAACAACAACAACAATCCTGAAAATATTACTAACCAAATTCTTAAGGAATAGAGAGAACCCTCAAAATGGAAAGGCCTAACTGACAAATTCCAAAATGTGCTTAACAAAAACTGCTAAATAATACCAATACCAATATTGGTATCCTACCTACCCCCCTTCCCCCTTTTAAATGTTTGTAGTTTACAAATGGATAATTGGTTTTATTCTCTCTCTCTGTTTTACTAATTTCTTTATACTATAAATATTTTTTATTTGAATTTTTAAACTGTTTTTAAATAACATTATTATTAATTTTTTTATTATTTATTTAATATTATATTTTATTCTTTGTTGCCTTTAACTAATTATGGATGCATGTTTTTTACCAAAAACAAATTATTACTATATTTTTTCTCTTTATCTTTTATTTTTCACTAATTTTGTGTTTATATATATTATTTTCTTTGTTATTAAATGAATATATTTAATGAATTAATTGCAAATTGAAAATGTTTTCCTAACACTTTTATTTTACATCGAATATTGTGTGTCGGTATCCTGATGATAATATATTGGTATCCTAGAAAGCCATGTTATTATAGGAGATTTAAAGTGTATACGAAGTCCGATCAAAATCTGGCATTTTCACCTTTTTTTATTATTCGATTCATTTGGATCAGAACTTATTCAATCATACCTCGTTTATATTATTCCAAGGCTTTTACAAGGTCGTCGCAGAGAATCTATTAGTATCAGCCCGAAACAGAACAGTAATCGGCGGTTGGATTCTAAAAGTCGAAACAAAACCAAAGACAATAGTTCCTGGAAGAAAACTGGTCATGTGTCGACTATTACGCTTGTCAATTCTTAGTGGTATAAGACTAAAAGAGGCGTGGATTTTTTTAAAAATATGTTTCAAAGACCATAAAAGGATTTCTTAAAAAATTATTTTCAAAGTCCATAAGAAGCGTCGATTTTTTTAAAAATAACGGTCAAAGACAATAAGAGGAGTCGATTTTTTCAAGCTATACATGTTTTCGTCAACATATCTGCTTCAATGGCTACATGGGGCGGGGTTTTATTATAAACTACATGAAGCGTGTGTTTATTATAAACATTTTTGCAAGGACTACATGATTTTTTTTTAAATGTTTTTTTAAGTACTATAATTAGCGTTCATTAAAAAAAAATAAAGATTCTAAGAACTGTGGATTTTTAAAAACATTTTTCGGGATTTCCATATTCCTGGATATTTGTATACCCTTATGGCTAATGAGGGTATATACACTTCGATACAGTAAAAATGTGCCTCATGGAAATATTGGTTTTAGACCACATGTTTCTTCGGACCAAATCCGTTTCAAGCAATTGGAGTCGATGTCCGTCTGTCCACCCGTCTTTCATGTCCTGACGGCTGGTGCGCACGATAACTTTCGAAATGAGTAACTGATTTCATCCAAATTTTGCACATCTTAATTATTTTTCCAAACTTAGTTCAAATTCCAAGATGGGGAATATCGGTCATCTCCTTCTGGTAATCATGCGAACGGGCTATCCGATTTGAAGCAAACATTGTACAACCTAGATCAAGTCCAAATATGAGGCCCATTGATCCACTATATCTGGTACCTCGCCCATAAATTGTCAAATTTTTTTTAATATCTATAAATCCAATATCAGGCGAATGGAATGTCCGATTTAAACCAATTATTGCACAGCCTGTTTGATTGATCCATTCCTTCTGGTACCTCTCCCTTAAATGATAAACATTTTCAATATTTATAAATCCAATATCAGGCGAATGGACTATCCGATTTGAACAAAACTTGGTGCAGCCTATTAACTTTACCCAGTCTAGATGAAGCCCGAATATGAGACTCATTGGTTCACTCCTTCTGGTACCTCCCCCACAAAGGGTCGAAAATTTTCAGTATTTATAAATCAAATATTATGGTGTTTTTACACGATATGTATTTTACATATGTGCTGTCACTTATTTTATCCATATGTAATTCCTTATGTGTGTCAAAATTAGCAGTGTACACAAAACATTTATTTTTGTGTTCAAATCGGCATATGTATTTTACATATGACATAACCTATAAACAAAAAAACACTTTTATTTTTTCTTAAATCAACATCATTATTTTATTAAACACCTACAAACGAAATAATAATTTGTAATTGTTGCCTTTTCATCTTTTTCTTTGAATTGCAATTGAAATATTTTCTTCCAACAATGTGTTTCATTCAAACAGCTGATTTCCTTATGTTTCACATACGAAAATAGAGCGCGTCCTATTCGGAAAAAAATACATATGTAATTGCATATCGTTTTGACACATTGAAATTTCCGTATGTTTCACATGACGAGTTCGATTTCCATATGTAAAAAAGTGACAGCACATATGTAAAATACATATCGTGTAGAAACACCATTAGGCAATTAAAATGTCCGATTTGAACTAAGCTTTGCACAACCTATTATCTTTACGAAGCCTAGGTCAAGCTTAATGATGGTACCTATTGGTCCAATTCTGCTGGTACCTCCCGCCAAGGGGTCAAAATTCAATATTTATAGCGAATGAAATGTCCGCTTAATATCAAACTTTGCACAACCTATTATCTTGACCAATCCTAGATCAAGTCTGAAGGTGGGAGAACCGTCTGCCCTCTCCTCTGATACCTCCCCCAAAATGGCTCAATATTATATAAACTTGTAAATTTTATTTGAATAACCGATTTGATCAACATTAGAAGGCAAATATCTTTGATAAAAACATATACCTATATGAAACGAATAATAAAATCCGCGTGTAACTCCGAAAATCTTTTCCGCAAACTATAGGGTGAGGGTATATATCTGTCGGCAATACCGACTGACACTTTTTTGCTTGTTTTAAAATTTTTTTAATAGTTTATAAAAGGTGCGGATTTTTTAAAAACAGTTTTTTTCGCAGACTATAGCATGCGAGTAGCTTTTAAATATTTTTTTCCGGTCTATAAATGGTGTGGATTCTTTAAAAATCTTTTTTCAAAAACTTCAACAGCCGTGAATTTTTTAAAAATATTTTTTTCAAAAAGTACAATATGCGTGAATTTTAGAACTACATAATCTAACTTAGTTTGTGGTCAAATATAGGCGATTTTCCAAAAAAAAAATTCAAAGTACCGCCATTTTGTTAATTGTTGTGCGAAGTCAATAATCCTAGTTCATACGAGATCCAGACATGTACTCTTTCTAACACTGTTACAATTTTCGGATTCCGATGTTCCAGTGAGGAGTTATCATGCCCGCCATCAAAAATAAGGACTTTTCTTTGATCACTAAAAATAACAACAAACATTTTTGTAAATTATTTTTCTTCCTTTTGCAATCTTCAAATATATATGTGCAGAGTTACAAATCTTAACAAGCATTAAAATCTTAAAAATACAAAATCGAGAAAGGGGGTTCCCTTAATAGATTTTTTTTTTCAAATTCAGTATTCGTAATTACTAACTAATCTTCATTATATCGAAGCCACCAGTGAAGTTTTTGCTTTGATATACAAAACTAAATCCGATGATCAAATTCAAAATTGTCAAATGTCAATTGCACCTTTCTTGTTCATTGGACGGCTCAATAAAATCGAAATTGTATATAATTAAAAAAAAACACACATAAGCATGTAAGACATACATATATTTATTTCAAATAATATTTTGGTGTCTAACAACGCTGATAACATACACACAGTGCATATCGCAATGATAATATACATACATAAAAAATACAAACCAAAAAAACAAACATTCAACATTGGAACGAGGAGCCATCATTTATACCACCAACAAAATGGAGTGACTAAAACAGAATAATTAATTCCACAACATATGTCAAATGAATTCAATAAAATTGTTTACAAAATAAAAACGTTTTATTTTTAATGCACTACTTCCTTTGACGAAAACATCACCTGTATCACCAATTTCCCCGTCCTACCTATTTGCACATTATTGGATTGGATGAATAAATGTGGCACACACCCAACAGAGATACAAGCAATGCGCCAACAATTGGTCAACAATGGATATGGTACATGGAGGCAAGTGGATGCTAATAAGCATAATGGAGCGCGCTGTTCCATTGAAAGTTTGCCGGCCCAAGCAATTTCAGTTGATTATTAACTACAGCTAATATTTTTGTTTTTGCATTATTTGCATTTCGAATTTCATTTAAAAATTTTCAAATATTTTTTTCATTTGTTATTTTTTTTCAATTGCATTATGCTTTTATTTTAATGTCTAGCAACATTTTTATTAAAAAAATAATTGCGTTTATTATATAGAAATAATTTACTTTTCATGCATGGGTATTTCCATGTTTGAAAAATGTATTTTTGGAATATTGAAAACTTCCTTAACAAAATATAATATTTAGTTAGTTATCAAGTTTTATTTAAAATATACTGTATTAAACTATACGTAAAATATATCATATTAAACCTTTTCAAAATGTATATAAAACGATATACACACTATCAGTTTTGAATGATAGTTTTGCTCAAATTATAATTCTTTTATAGTATTAATAATGTGATCCAGCTGTTTTTCTAACGTTTAATATCAAAAAATTAGACGAATCGAAGTGACATACATTTTAAGAATTCAATTTTATTTGTTTTTTGTTTTGTCACACTTTCAAACAAGACACTATTAATAAGGTCACCCAGAAAGCGAAAAACAGATGCTTGGTCTCAATTTAAATGTCAAAAATGTACACGTTGTTTACGTTTTCATAATGGAAAACAATTCACAATAATCTATTTTGACAGCAAACATAAGAAGCAGCTGATATGCAGCTGGTCTTTCTGAATGAACTTGTTAATAGGCCATGATTATAAGATAATGCAGTTAGATCAGCTGTTTCTCAAGTTTCCAGTCAAAATATATTATTGTGTGTTGAATTCCTAGTAAGCAGCCGCATATAACCATTTTAAACACTACCCTACAGTTCGTCTTCGACGGCTCACCAGAAAGAGGCATTTAAAGAGTTAATCACGCCTACGATGACGCTGTGTTTGTGTTCGCTTAACTTATCACGTGTTTTATAGAACTAAACGAAACATATAAGAAAATCTCGTTCATATGGTGTATGGTCCTATACCTTATATTCTAATAGAAAGTGGACTAGCTGGAGGAGGAAAAATTTACAAATAACTTTTATTTTCCTTTTTATCTTTCATTTGTCAACCATTGAATATAAAAACAAACAACATGTGAAAACAGTTGCAAATTTTATTTCATTGTGGGAGAGATGTATTTTTTCATACAAAACCGTTTGTTTACATTAGAATTCGAAATACTTTCAAATAATTGTCTATTAAATTCATTTTTGTTACTAAATTTTAAACCAACACATTTTAAATGACCACTAGAATTATGAAACCAATAAATTATGTATATACGTAAACAAATATCAGCTGACTTTATAACTTTATATAATTTTAATACTAGTCTAAACAGCTTGTATTTAGTTACTCGATTTGCAAATCGAATAGATTTAGAAGACATAGTCTTATTAATAGGTCTTATTTGACAGCGTAACCCGTTATCTATTAATAAGGTCACCCAGCAAGCAAAAGTCAGCTGTTTTTTTCACAAGTCTAATGTCAAACAAATATCAGCTGACTGATAAATTTATATAATTTTACTACTATTCTAAACAGCTTTGATTTAGATACTCGATTTGCAAAACGAGTAGATTTAGAAGGGATAGTCTAAACGCGCCTTTTTCAGTTACTCAATTTGCACATCTAGTAAATTTACAAGGCATAGTCTAAACGCGCCTTTATTAATAGGTTTTATTTGACAGCGTAACACATGATCTATTAATAAGGTCACCCAGCAAGCAAAAGTCAGCTGTTTTTTCTCAAGTCTAATGTCAAAAAATTGGACGTTGTTTAGTTTTTCATAATGGAAATCAATTCACAATAAGGGATTTTGACAGCAAAGTTTAGAGGCGACAGGTGATATCCAACTGGTCTTCCTAGATGACCTTATTAATAGTTATTGATGTAATCCTCCATCAGACTTCTATAAATATATTCATTGCAGTTGCACAGGTCACAAGTCAGCCAATCACAATAGTTATCATTCAAAATAGATAGTGTGTACTGAATTTTGCGGATATTATTTTTTATTTCGTTGTTTTATTTACATACTGCAAAAAGTAAAAAAATTATATGGAAATACCCATTTCATTCTTACTTAGCATCATAATAAAATAAACAATATTTTAAAAAAAATGTAAATTGGCTTTGTTTAAACCCCTATGCGTGTTGTTTGAATGCTTCATATTTGGGGTAATAAAATGCACAATTCAATTTGTTTATTCTAGTTTTTGTAATGCAAAATAATATACATACATTTTTTATCAATACAGGGTAAGTTTTTTTTTTCGCTTCGATATTTTTTCACACATTTTTTATAATCTTAACTCATTTTTGGACAACGCATGTATATTTTTTATTAATACATGGCTTCATTTTCTTACAACGGTCATTTTTTTCTGCTGATGCTTTTAATAATTTTTGTTAATTTTGGTATTTCCATGTAGTAATTTAATAAAAAAAAATAATTTTTATTTCCAATGTTTTACAGAAATCAAGGCAAAGAGAAAACCCTCGGGTGAGTAGTTTAAAATAAGTAATCAAATATTTTGAAATGTGGGTAACATCAAAGTAGTATTTCAATTCCACAATAGGTTCGTTCGTTTTCTTGGCCAGTAACATTTACTCGGTAAGAATTTGCAGAGTAAATACGAATTTTTCGATCTGGAGTAAAAGTAAAAATTTTTTTATCGACACAGCTGATTGAAACAACAAATAAGTTGGCGCTAACATAAAAGCACCATTTTATTACAAAAATGGATAAAAATCGGAAAATTGATGTTGTTTATAAATATTTGCGTTTTCTTCATCCATTTTAATTTTTAACTATACAAAAATCAAACTAAAATTCACAAAACAATCAATTTGCTTGAGAATAATTTTATTGTTTGTTTACCAAACAACTGATTAAAAAACAGCTGATTTACAAATCAGCTGATGGTACAAGACAATTCTTACTGAGTAAATTTACCTTATAAGAATTAGCAAATACTCAGTAATACAACTGTAAGATCTTCTCTCAATAATTAACTCTCTTTTATTGGACTTTGTAATACTTTTTACAAATTATTGAGTAAACGAATGAACCTAATATTCAAATATTGACCTCGATAACAATTTTCCCTTTGTGATATTGAAATGTAAAAATTAGTATATTCTTTGCAGTACGATAACAGACCAATTCTATTCTCTTAAGGGAACCCTCATCATTCTCAAATTCAATTTTTCAGAAAAAAATGAAAAAATCAGCTAAGATAATTGGTGAAATTTTATTTATTTATTTTTTTTTTTAATCCAAAGTTTTCTCCATCTAATTTGAGATGGGCAATTCAGAAAATTATATGACGGCTATATAATTAAGATTTAAATTTTTGAATAGTTGAATAGTTGAAGTTACAATCCCATACTAATCATTTTTTTTTATCAGAGAAGAAGTTGGTTCCCTCAATTTTATACCAAATATACCTATTTTAATACAATATTTTTAATGTATATTTTAATTTTATCATTCTAGCCGAAAAAGATTCGGGATTCCTACGGATTGGCTCTTTGAATGTCCGAGTGAAGAAAACGACCGAAGCGTTCAGCAACTTCTTGGGTGTGGGCAATGGCAATGGGAGCTCAATGCCGCCGCCAACTCATCAATATCATCATCATCCACACGCAGCCTCAACAGCAAGTCTCCCTCACCAGCGGCCCCATCGTCACCATCACTATCCACATCATCTTCATCACGGTGGTACGATGCGGAATCAGCATCATCTGCATCCGATGATGATGAAAAAATCATCAACAATGATGCCAAAGAAGAACACGCCATCGTCAATGCATCACCCGGCACCGGGATCGAGGGCGAGTGCACCAATTAATAGCAAACAATTCGATATGCTACATAAAACGTGGGGTTCTGCAGACAATATAAACGGTAATGCTGCAACACATGATGATGATGATGACGACGATGAAGATGAATCCCTAATGCCACCACCAGGTCTAGATAGTGTTAAGAAACGCCAAAGGAATGTAAAACGTTCATCAATAGCCTCCAATACAACAGATTCACCCAGAGATTCCATATCTTCGACATCAAGCTCAAATTTTAATACTGGCTACAGCAGTATGCCAACCACACCCAATCAGTTACGTTCACCGTTGGGTTTGGGTGCTGTCGCTCACAATCTCAATGTTGATTCTGACTCAGATTCAGCATGTGGTTTTGATTCGAATTGGTCTATAAGTGGTCGCAGTTCCCTAAGCAGTGGCAATCTTAAATCAACGAAATATTAAAAAATAGATATATTTAACATCACTACTATTATTACATACATATGTCGTTATGTATTTGTGAAATGAAAATCTCTATATTTTTTTTATTAATGTCTGTGAATGTCATTAACACTGGCGAACAATTTTAGACGAACAAATAATATGCATTAGATATAAATAACTAAACTCGAAATATTTTATTCGAACTTTTTTAATCACATATTTTTCTAATAGATAACTACATAACAATAAATACAAATATGTGTACACAACTTTATTTTTGTTATATGTAAAATACACGAGAACCACGACATTCGCCGTAAATGGGGCCAAAGAACGTAACTTGCAAATTGAATCAATTTTTTCTAAATTTCTGTAAAAATGTTAAACCAGTCTCTAAAATCGAATTTTCCAAAAAAATTATACAAGATCTATTCAAAAAAAAATAGTGATAGCATAATTTTGTTATGCGACCATTTGCCACTAGGATACGCACTTAGCTTTACGAATAGTTCTGTAATGGCATAAAATAGCTAACAATGTCCTGATGATTTCATTTGCATCCTTTGTAAAACTGAATATAAACGAAGGAAATATTAAACGATAAGGATTCGAGGAAGAAAATTAAAATAGTGCCTTGGGAGAGATAATGGCGGTCTAAAGGAAGAAATTGCATTAATTCTGAAGATCTAAATAATTTAAAGAAGAAAACAGTTTCCTGTTATTAGAATCTGTAATCGAAATAAGTTGTTATGGAGGTATTAAATAAAAACAAACAACAATTGTTAATGTGTGAACTACCCTAAGAGTAATCAGCTGTTTCCAAACTTTTCAACTTTTCAGTACTCTGAGGACTTTTTTTTCCATAGAAAAAATCCTCAGTACTCTGATGACTCCTCTTTCTATAGAAAAAAATTATCGTAAGTACTCTGAGGACTCTTTTTTTAGGAGCTAACCTTAGTGATTTAGTTCTGTCAGACCTATTTATTGGTAAATAATAAAATACTGATGGAACTGGACGGGAAAGGTAACAAAGTTGTTGCTTATGCGGACGACGTGGTGATATTGATTTCCGGAAAATTTCCGTCAACAATCTCGGACGTTATGCAAAGAGCCTTACTGACGCTGTCCCGTTGGGCCAGGGCGAACGGCCTTGGTGTAAATTCAACAAAGACGGAACTGGTAATGTTCACTAGGAAGCGTAAGCTCAGCGTTTTAGCTCGACCAACACTGGATGGAGTTCAACTTCATATATCTCCGAAGCAAAGTACCTTGGCACAATCCTGGACCGTAATTACGATGGAATAGGAACGCTGAGGAACGGGCGAAGAGAAGGCTGATTGCACTCTATGCATGCAAAACAAAACAAACCATCGACTATACACTGGTTGTATAAAACTGTGGTAAGGCCCATCCTATCCTATGGCTCCCTTGTGTGGTGGAACTGTCTGCGCCACAAGTCGACATCCAGTAAATTAGATAAGGAATAAAGAGCCACCTCGATTTTAGTTACAGGAGCCAGGAGGAGTACGCCACAAGCAGCTCTGAACGCAATGCTGAATTTTAAGCCTCTGGGCCTCAGCATTAAGTGTCAGGCCGAACGTAGCACCCTAAAACTCCTTGTACATTAGAACTTTTTACCGGGTTAACCTACTTTATGAGGATTTATTTGACATATATGCAAAGGAAATGACAATTGAAACCCACTGGGTTAACGAAATCCGGTTAAATGTAAACGTACTATAAAAGGCTGCATGAACAAAACCTCTGGCGAAGTTGTACCTTTGGGCATGATCGTATCTTATACGAGCCAGGTATGACATTGGACCAACGCGTAAAACTAAGCGACTATATATCACCAGTCCTGAAATTTGACAATATAGATGCCGTTATTCCTAGTAGAGACGACTGGAACCGAAGTAACTCTCCTCTGGACGATCTGGCCTTCTATAGAGACGGATCCAAGATGGAAGAAGGTACAGAGACAGGCGTCTACTGTGAAAGGCTAGGCCTTGAGTTAACCTACAAGCTGGATTGCAACTGTAGTGTTTTCCAAGCTGAAATTAACGAAATTGATAAAAAAAAGTCTGGATGCAGATGTCGTTGATAGTCAAGCGGCTCATAAAGCCATCAAATCTTGTTATATCAAATCTGAGGCCGTCCTCAAGTGTAGAACAGCTTTGGATGAACTTACTTACAGCTATCGGCTGTGTTGGGTACCAGGACACCGTGACATATTGGGTAATGAAAGAGCAGACGAACTAGCTAGACGAGGACTTCAATCCACAGATCTAGCAATTTATGACTCAATCAAACCACCCATATGTTATCTTTACCGGAACTATGAGGCGTTCTTCGACGAAAGAGCCTACGAACTTTGCACAACGAACCTAGGTAGGTGCAACGTGTCAAGATCCATTTGGCCGACTCTGTCTACCAAAAGGACGCACTCACTTTTGAACCTGAGCAAAACTGAAATAAGAGTAATGGCAGAAATCCTTACTGGTCATTGCAATATCAGGGCCTTTACTAGTAAATGGGATCTTGATGCAATTGCAATTATAGTAGATCTCCCAAATATTTAGAAGCTCGCCTAATTATTTAGAAGACCTGTATGAGGTCTCCCAAATATTCAAAGGCCCTGCGTAAGGTTTCGTAACTATTTAGAAAATCATAGAAGATTTTCAAAATTTTTTAGAATACCTATAGGAGGTCTCTTCATTTAGACCTGTAGGAGCTTTCCTACTTATTAAGAATACCTGTAGAAGGTTTCCTAACTATTTAGAGGGTCTATGCGAGGTATTCTAATTATTATAGTAGGCCTCCTATATTTTTAGAAGACCTATATGAGGTCTCGTAATTTTTTGAAGTCATGTGAAAGGTTTTCGGATTGTTTAGAATATCTATAGCATATCTCAATTATGCGGAAGGCCTTTAGAACATCTTCAAATTGCTTAGAAGACCTATACAAAGGGTCTATATTGTTTTGAAGTCTTATAGAAGGGTTTCTAATTATTTAGAGAACTTATGGGAAGCCTCCCAATTATTTATAAGACCTGTAGATGACCTTTAATTCTGAAGGTGTTTTATGGGTACTCTTCTAATTATTAAGAGAGCCGATAGGAGATTTTCTAATGACCCAGAATACCAATATGCGATGTCCCAATTATTATAAATCCTGTAGGAGATCTTCAAGAAGATCCATAAGAGCTCTCTCACTTATTTTTTTAGATGATCTATAGGGAGTCTCAAAATTATTTAGATGTTCTACACCAGGTTTCGTAACGGTTTAGAAGTCCCCAAATAGTTTTTCCAATTATAAAAAATACACATAGGGTCATAAGGAGATCTTCTAATTATCAGGAATACCTATAAAAAATTTGATAATTATTTAAGAGGGTGGTCCTAAAAATAATTTGCTAAAAATCCATGCTTTTGGGAGTTAAAATTGGCGCTTATGGCCTCAAAAAAGTTAAAAAACCAAACATATGATATCCCTAAAAATAGTCCTTAAATAATTCGCTTTTCTCTCTCAAAAAATATAAAAATCCAATATAGGCAATCTGCGCCCTCTTAATTATTTAAAATTCCTTTGGGAGGTCTTCAAATTATCAAAAAGAGCCATATGAGTTCTCTCAATTATTTAGGAGACCTGTAGGAGGTATACCAATTATTAACAGGACCTATTAGAGGCTTCGTAATTTTTTCGAAGTCTACTTGTTTAGAATACCTTTGGGAGATCTCTCAAATATTAAGATTTCTTGTCTTATAATTATCAAGAAACGCCATTGGAAATCTGCTACTTATTTAGGAGGATGGTTCTGAGAAAAATCTTTCAAAAATTCAGACCTCTGGACCACACGACACGTTGTAGCTCTTCAACTGCCCAGCTAAGCCGACTCATCTATCGCCGAATTCTCTTTGGACGCAACCCGTTCAAGTTGCAACTTTCCTGAATTCGAAGGTAGAGGAAGCAGAACCAGTCAATGAATGACACACATCATGTATTCTGTTGCTACAACAACAACAACACAGGATTTCTTTTAAATCATTTTTCAAAGGCCTATACAAGGATGGATGGATTATTTACAAATATTTTTTCTCAAGGATATAATCAAAGACAGAAGATGATTTTTTAATGACATAAATAAGTCATGGATTTTTAAAGATTATTTTTTCAAGAACAACTACAAGGTGTAGATTTTTTAAAATTATATTTTCAAGGACCACATTGGACCTGGAACAAACCGATTTACAACCCGATACAACTGAATCGATGAAGATAAGTTAGATAAATTGTGAGATGTTGTTTATTAACAATATTTATAAACATTTTTTGTTGAAAACTGTTATTGAATAATTTTTATTTTGTCTTTATAATGAAATTTAAATTTAATTTAAACAAATCCGTCATAGATAGTGGATGGCACTACCATTCCCAATACAACGGTACATAGGCATTTGAGGGGGAGAAACTTATGGGATGACCTAATATTTTTGTCTGTTTGTCGAGTCTTTATGCATTTTGACAAAATAGTTTATGAAGAAATATCCAGGGGCATGTTAAGAATAAAAACGCTAATACCCGAAAATGTTTGTTTAAAATGTAAATAAAATCAGAGATCCGCACATAAAATATATAGGGGAGACTGGGGCACCTTCGGCATCGGGGCACCTTCGGCAATCGCGTTTTCGATATGAAGCTCTCACCGTACATCACTAGTTTCGATACATAGGTATCGAATATCGAAATAAATAACTGACACAAAGTTTGAAATTTCTAGCTAATAAGCTTATTTAGATACATAGGTTTTTGTATTTTTATAGATGTTTCTGTAATATTTCAATTCCATTTCGTAAGTATTTCGTGTATAAAACTTTTTAAATTTTTAAGACAATATTATTAAAAAGTGGTTAACTACGATGTGTATTATTATAGAAATATTTAAAAATATAATGTTTTTACAAAACTGATCGAAAAAAATTAAAAAAACTATAAAAAGTACATTCGGGGTACATTC